ATTTTAATGATGCTAAAAAAAAAATTAAGGGCTAGGGATGTATGTAGCTTAGTTGGTAGAATGTTTGCCTAGCTTGTACAAAGCCCTGAGTTCCATCTACCTCACCCAATAAATTAAGCATGCTGGAGCATGCCTGTAATTCCAGCACTGAGGATCAGAAGTTCAAGGTCATCCTTGACTAGATAGCAAGTTTGAGACCAACCTGACATGACATTTACATGAAAAAAATCTTGACAATTAGATATTATAAATTTTATGAATGGGTAAAATACATACAGATATATCTACAAAGATAAACCTAGGACTGTCTACAGTGGCTAGATGCTGATATGACAAGAAATTCTTTTCATTTTTGTATCCTTTTAATGTTTTGTTTTATTCTATTTATGTTTATATATGTAAGAGTGTGTGAAAATATGCCATGTGAGTGTAACTGCATGTGGAGGTCAGAAGGTGTAAGAAACCCTGGAGCTAGAGTTACAGGCATTGTGAACCACCTGATACTGGGATCCAACTCAGATTCTCTTGAAGAATAGTACCTGCCATCTCTCCAGCCTTGATTTAATTAATTAATTAATTAATTAATTTAATATTTTATGTGTATGAGTGTTTTGCCTACATATATGTAATTATACCAGATGTGTGCAATGTTTGTGGAGGCCAGAATAGGGCATTAGATCCCCTGGAGCTGGAGTTACAGGTGGTCGTTAGCTGTCATATGGGTGCTGGGAACTAAACCTGCATCCTCTACAACAGCAGTCAGTGCTCATAATCACGAACCATCTCTCTACTCCCCATCTTTTGTTTTTTAAGACAGGGTTTCTATAGCTTATGCTGGCCTGGAAGACACTATATAGCCTAAGATGACCTCAAAGTCATGACAATCTTCCTGCCTCAGACTTTAAAGTGCCAACTACTATTTTCTTCTTCTTTTTAAGAATTATTCATTTGTTTTTATTTTATGTGTATGAGTGTTATGCCTGCATGTGTGTAAGTGCACCTTTGTCATGCAATGCACATGGAAAACAGAAGAGGGTCTCAGATCCCCTGGAACGGAAGTTGTGGATGACTGTTAGCTGCCATGTGGGTGCTGGGATTCAAACCTGGGTCCTCTGCAAGAGCAGCAGTGTTCTTAACTGCTAAGAATCTCTCCAGCCCCTATTTTCTTCTTTATATCACTTTTAAACTTAGTTTTATACAACTGTATTCACCTCTAATAACATTTTCAGAGGTATACAGGCAAAATATAAGAAAGTCAAATATTTTAAAAGTGATACATGGCTTGGGAAAACAATTCCATAATTTCAGTAAAAAGACAACCTTCTGATATCATTTTGTGTACACTCAAGAGCTCATTAATTCTGCCAGATACTATCTTAATAATTATATCTCACGCTAGTCCAAAAATGACTGAGAATGTCTACAGATAGTTTATGTACAAGCCTAAAGTTTATATACACAGACCACTGATCAATGAATTTATTTGCAAATGCCATTCATAATGATTATACTACAGATATTTAAATATAGTTTCCACACATAATACTTCATATGTGAACTGTAAAGCCTAATATAAAAATACAAGCTAAGAAAGCATTAGCTACATTCTCCAACAATAAAATGGTAACAAAAATATTCCTACTCCATAGACATACCTGATGTAGGCACCAGAAAGGAATTACTACCTAAATTTTTATTTACTTATTTGTTTTTAATGTGTGCATTTTGCCTGCATGTATGTGAGTGCACCACACGTGTGCAGTGCCCCTGGAGGCCAGAGGAAGGGTGTTAGATCCCCTGGAACTGGAGTTATAAATGGTTGTTAGTTGCCATGTGGATGCTGGGAATTGAACCCAGGTCCTCTGCAAGAGCAGCAAGTGCTCTTGACCACTGAGCCATCTCTTCAGCCCTCAAATTATTACCTTTTAGTCTTTTAAATGTTCTGTGAAAGAAGTGATAAAATCTTGATGACATCTGAACATACTGTGAGATAAAGATCACAAATCAGGAAAATGAACAGAAAATAAGGAAACTTTTAAGACTCAAAAATTTGAACTGAGTGTAGTGCACAAGCTTGTGATTCCTGCACTTGGGGGATGGAGTAAGGAGAATTGGGAGTTTAAGGTCAGCTTTTGATACAAAGTGAGTTCACGGCCAGCCTGGGTTACATTAGATCTTGTGTTTAAAAAAAAAAATGGAGGACATTAGAGGAAAGAGAACTCCATGATAGGAAGAACTCAACTCTAAGGAAAGACTTTAAGACTAGCATAGTCAGAGCTGGAGAGATGGCTCAGTGGTTAAGAACACTGGTTGTTCTCGCAGAAGACCCAAATTCGAATCCCAGCACCCACATGGCAGCGAATAAGTGTCCTTAACTCTAGTTCCAGAGGATCCACCAGCCTCTTCTGACCTCTGCGGGCATTGCACAACACGGGCGCACTTAACCTATATGCAGGCAATACATGCATACACATAAAAATAAATAAAAATTTTTTTTAAAGTTTTAAAAAAAGGCTAGCACAGTCAATAAATTTCCACAGGAATGAGAATGACAATGGTAAAGGTTAAGGAATCATACACCTGATGGAAGGTCATGGCTGGCAGGGAAGAAAAAGCATGCCACATGGCATACAAAGCAACAGTTCCAAAGCCAAGAAATGAAGCCCTTAAAACTTGAAGGAATCCCATTGACTTGGTATGGGTTTGGAATGTGGGCCTCTGTGAAGGAATGGATGCTCTAAACATCTTGAATGCCCTAACAGAACTTTTAAAGGGAATATCCAAAGTGGGGAAGTTCCTAGCACTACAAAGCAGGTTAGGATGTTCATTCTCAAATTTCAGGGACTGTGCTGGAAATCTTGATGGCACTTTCATTCTGGTATAAATTAGAGATAATCCTTCACATTGTTTTCCTCTTGTGAATTATTAAACTTAAAAATAGCTCACAGTGGCAATGGTACCACGCCATGCCTGACATGGTCTATCTTCTGCCTGTGCCAAGCATGATTTTTATTCTCAAAAACTATTTCTTTCTCAAAGAGTTCACCAAAGTTGTCATCCTTCCTATCAGCAGCCCCACTGGGCTCTGGTGAGTGACATCCAAACATTTAAACTCAAAAGCTGCTTTAGAAGAGAGTTATTAAAATTCAAATGAGCTGGGCATATTGAAGAAGAAAGCACTGGTTTGCATGCACACCTCTGCTTTTGGCCATCCCATTTAGTGCCATAGAGCAGGGTCTGGTTTTGTTTATGTAAATGGGCTTTGGAGGCAGAGGTCAGCCTCCCACGGCCCCCACTTCTCTAGGGTCATCATTAGTAATGTGTAGGCTGAATAGACTTTCCTTTGAGTCTAGTCAACAAACCTGACAGGAAGGCAGCCCTCTCCCACAACCTGAAAATGCCAAAAATCCAATTGGTAATATGACAATTTTTAATACTCTAGTAATCTGTTTTAAAACAGCTTTTGGCAAGACAGCAGATCACATCAACCTGATTTTTCAACCTCAGAGCAGAACAGCTCCTATTGTGCCAGGACTACATAATCATAATGTCACATTGAACTAAGAATTACCCATAAAATTCAGAAAAAAAAATCATTTCTGCCAAGAAATATGGATTCAGGAAGGCAAAATGACACTTTATTTACTAGAAAAGAAAAAAAAAGTCTTCATTTGACCTGAGAATTATTGTTTTATTTCTCATGGAAATAACTCATATCATAATCATTTTAAACTTCTATAAGCTAACAATGAATGACCTAATAAAACTTTAGCAAAAATATATAGAGTTATCATTATCCTGGTCATGGAAAGTTCAGATACTCACTTTGTAAGATTCAATTTTCTTCTAATAAATATACATGTATTATATTTATTTCAAGAAGGTTTCATTCATCAAACTAACTTGCATATTATATTGAACATATAGAGAGTACACAAAACAATGATATAACCATGTCAATTTTTACAAAGAAAAAATTAAAATTAAAAGTAAATAATGCTAACTCATAATCCAAGAATAACAGCATATAGTCTAAAACTCTGGAAAAGGGAACTTGTCTCTAGTCTACAAAAATAGTTCATGATCTGGAAGCTCCAGGGATTGCTGTTCCCAGTTGGTAAATCAAACATGACCTTCAAGTTTTCTTCCAATGGTAAGACTGTATTCCTCCATGAACTTTATTCATTAAACTGCTATCTCCAGATTTCTTCTAGTTTTTCATTTTAATTCATTTAAAAACTTTTTTTTCCCCCAAATTGTAATGATCATGCCATAATGTAGTCACTGGTTTGCCCCATCAGGAAAGAATGAAATTAGCAAACATCACTGAGAAACTATAACATTAGTGAAGCTGGTAAGTACCAGCAAGGACACCTATAGTTCTAATCCATTTCTTCCCTAACAGCTCTGAAAAGTGAATCATTAAGGAGCACTTCTTCAATAACTTACATATGGCACTGTCCTGGCTCCTGTTAAAACTAAAGGCACTGAATCTCCTCTCCATCTTCAAACAGTTTGTGCTCCAACACAGAGGGCCACAACACAGAAGCACAAATGGAAAAATGTGTGCAAAGAAAAAACATAAACTAAAAAGAGGAACTAGAGTCAGAGACTCTAGCAACACAGAGTAATCACCAAGGTCAGGGACATGATGTACTCCCCAGACAGGTCTGGTATACAGGACTAAGTGTGTTCTTTACTTAGAACACAGCCATTTGAAGACAGAAAAGTAATGTGTATTTAATATAATTTCAACATGACTAAAGTTTTCACAATGCCACACATGATGAGAAACAGCAATTCTAAGAAAATATAGTTTCCACGTTTATGTAGCAATTCTTAGTTTCCCCAGTTGTCTCTATTACAAAGATGGTTTGGCAGAAAAGAACATTTGACTCTTCAGATCTGCATTGTTTGATTCTACAGAGGCATGCTTAGGGCACACAAATTTACTTAACATGTAGAAAGGATGACAAAATCCAAGAAATGTGCTCACTTGCCTTTTTTTCCTCCTGTAATGAAGAAGCCAACAGCTGCTCTAATAAAACTGCTTTCGGGCAAATAACTGTAGTCAATAGGAACTGTGGAAACAGAAAATGATCAAATTAACCAGGGAACTCGGCAGGACTAGTGAAGGAGAGATAATGACCTCATGCTGCCATATCAGCTTAGAGACAAAGAGAAGATGTTTATGGTGTTAATCTCTGCACAATACTCTGTGGCTGCAACTAATTCTGTTAGATTAAGTAATTGGCCTTGAGGTAATCACTCAGGCTATGCAGGCAAATCCAAAATGGTGACAAACCTAGGAAAGACTGAAAAAAAACATAGAGGATGGTTATTCCAGTGAAGAGGTTAAAAAATCCTTTCCACACCTTGTGGTGAATGTATGCCTTTGATCCCAGCACTCAGGAGGCAGAGGCAGGTGGATCTCTGTGAGATTGAGGCCAGCCTGGCCTACATAGTGAATTCCAGGTCAGCTGTGGCTTTTTGAGATGCTGTCTCAAAAAGATTAAAAAAAAAAAATCTTAAAAAAAAAGGAGGATGGGTGGGGCTGGACTGGAGAGATGGCTCAGCAGTTAAGAGCACTGGTCACTGTTTGCTGTTGCAGAAGACCTCCCAGCACCCAGATGGTGGCTAACAACTGTCCATAATTCTAATTGCAGGGGATTCAACACCCTCTTCTGACCTGTGCGGGCATTGCACAACACAGGTATACTTATATACATGCAGGCAAATACACTCATATACATAAAGTTTAAAAAATAATAAAAATGTGTTTTTTAAATCCTTTCCACATTGTTACATCAGTGAGCTCCAATCCAGTGATCTCAGGGTCAACAAAGAGCCTATTGGGCTTCTAAGCTTAGCCCACTGTCCTAAAGACCACTTTACAACATGCTGCATCAACTATACGAACTACAGAAATCTAAAAATCAGTATCTACAAAGAACCAGAAGTAGCTGCTGACCTGAAATGGTGAGGCAGTGACATTTATGCTAGTGGAGTCCTCGGAGTCTCCTAAATCCTTTTCCTCCAAATCTTTCATAATTGTTTCATAAAATGGTTTTTACTGCAATGAATGGCTCAATTGGAAAATTCCATCAGGATCAAGAAGCTGTACTTTTCCACACATAATAATTATTTTGTTCAGAAAACCTAAGCATAAGATGATTCACCACTACTTGCTCTGAGTATATATGGGCCAGACCAAGTACTCTGTAATATTACAATTAAAAGTCTACATAAAAAAGGATATTGGAAAAGCCCTGACCTTCAAAACTAGCATTATCAAGGGCTTTTTTTTATATGACTAAGTTTTTTTTTCCTTCCTATTTTAATATGATAGTTTCCAGGTTCTGCATGTTCACAAGGCTGTGACCTATGTACTATTTCTATACCTACAGAGTCACTGAAGTGAAGACGCAGCCACTACAGTGGTCCCATGTTCATGGGTACGCTATCAGTACACTAGCTGTCAGGAATACGTAAAGCTAAGTTTTAATGAGAAGAATTTGTTTTCTAATCATCTTTGGCAAAGGTCCAAGATGGCCAGGTAGGTCAAAACACTATAAAGTGTACAGAACAGACATACTAACAGTGATTCTTTCCCCCAGAAAATCTCCAAGTACAAACATAAATTAAGCATGAAGAGATTGTAATTTTTTTATTGCTTTTATCAAATGCTACAAATAGAAAAGGCTTTGTTATATTAAGACCCAGGAGTTTGATCCCTGAGGAGATTCACACCTTTAAAATGTACTTAGCTCATTAGTTTTAAAACCATGGGCCAGAAAAATCTCAGTCATATATAAAGAGATATTTTTTTTTTTGAGACAAGGTCTCACTATATAGCTCTGAAAGAGACTTTGTAGACTGGACTAGTCTTGAACTCAGAGAAAACTCACCTGCCTCTGCCTCCTAAGTGCTGGAATTGAAGATGTATACCACCCAGCCTGCATGTACACTTTATTTCAACAAATAAATAGGAAAACTATACAAAATGTGATTCTTACTAGGTACTAGCTAGCAGCATGCAGGGAAAAAAAAACCTCAGGGTGTCTTCTTCCCCTTTGATTGCAAAATAAGCCTTAACAACAAAGAAATCTGTAAATCTGGGGACTGGAGAGATGGCTACATAGTTAAGAGTGCTTATCACTCTTGCAAAGGACTGGCCCACATTAGACGGCTCACAACTGCCTATAACTCCAGTTCCAGGGAGATCTAGCCTCCACAGGCAACTGCACACGTGTGCCTACACATACACACACACTTTTAAAAAGCAAAAATAAATATTAAAATGTTAACAGAGAAATCTGTGTGGAACTAAGTACCTTAATCTTTACAGTTTCATGTTTAAGGTAATAATAGAAGTAACAGTAGTAACAGCCATCACCATTCTAACACTTTAAGAAGAGTAAGAGGAACATTTCATGCTTCCCTCAGTCATAAGATATTTTGTTTTTTGAGACAAGGTCTCACTATATAGCTCTGAAAGAGACTTTTATTGAAACACAATACCATTACATCTAGTAAAATAAAATATCTGCTCCAAGCTTCAGGACCTGGTTCTTTGTTTCTGGACTTGTTACTAAACTAATTCTATATGCAATTCATATAATCTCTCTGAGTCTTCTATTCTTCTTCATTTGTAGAACATGGGTTATTTGGCTAAATGTGTATACTATGCTCTGAGGGAGGCAGACTGGAAGTATTAATGAGCATGGGGTTTGGAGGCCAAGAAATCTAAATTCAAAATACCACTTTCTCCCATATGACCAAGAGTAAGTCACATTCCATTTTGTTCAGATATAAAACAGAGATGGTAATAGCTACCACATAGGGTTGCTGTGCCAATTAATGCCCTTAACAAAGTATAGAATCCTGAGTTAGCAATTCCACTTCCTAGGTCCAGTATATTGGGACTTTAACCTTACCAGAAGTTCTGCTTTGATTTGAAGACAAAATAGATAGATGAAGATGTCCTAGAAGCCATAGTGCATTTGACTGAAGACCAATCACCCCAGAGACACTGATGACCTATTGATGAAAATATAGTAGCTCAGCAATAGGGCAAGATCTAAGCTCTATTCAATAAAAGGCCACCAATAGAAACTCATTGACTGACCCTGTAGGAGTTAGAGCCTTGGTTAGGAATGAGAAGTTATATGCCAGGATGCTAGCACAAGTCTCCTACACTAGACCTGAATAAATAACTGATGAGTGTTTACCAATGAATCAATCAATCAATCATGGCAAAAAGTACTAGTGGTATTCTCAGGTTTCCCTGAGCAAGACTGGTCTCAAAAGAATTTAAAATAATGGGAAAAGAACATTCAAAAAAAAGTTTGGGGATGTAATTTAGTTGGTAGAGTGTTTGCCTATCATACATCAGTCTACAGGTTCGAGCCCCAACACTGTATAAACCAGGTGTGGTAGTTCAGGCCTATAACCCAGTGCTTGGGAACTGGAGGCAAGGAGGATCATCAAAAATTCAATGTCAACTTTAGCTACATAGTAAGTTTGAGGCCAATCTGGGACACATGAGATCTGATCAAAATAACAATAGATAAGTAAAAAATTCAAGAAGTAGAAACTAAGGGAAAGGTTTCTTAAGAATAAAGTACTCTAAAAATGGAAAGAAATTTTATTTTGTTCTTTTCTTTAAATCATTTTCTATTATTGCTTATTAAAATTCATGAACATTTTAAATAACAGTTCCCATTTATAGAGTTTTCTCCCAATTTTTAGCAACTTAAATTTCAGTAGAATTCTTTTTCTGAGCATTCATATTCATATACATAAAATATTTTTTATGCTCAAAAATCTATGCTTGCTTATAAAGCATGACTTACTAGAATGTCTTTATGTTATGAGTATTATAATCAGCCATGTTTTATAAGACATGTTTTACAACAAATATGCTAAATGAAGAACCAAGATATAAAATTCTGTATATGTAAGAATACCAACTAGAGTAAGAATGCTTTGAAAAATGTGTGAGTAAATGTTAGGAGTAGCTTTGGGAGTCACCACCTGTGGTGCTTTTCAACTGCTTTCATTCTGGACTTTCTAATTTTATTCAATAAACGTAATCACTTTTAAATAAAAATCTTAACAGAAAAAGAATTTTTAAAAACAGATGAGTATGATTATTCTTTAACAAGAATAATAATGATAAGTATTTATCAAATACTCTCACCAATGACAACTGAATACTATTTGGCCCTTCCTCCCAGGTATCTGCCCTGCCCTTTGATCATCTTCCATTTGTCCTTGTCCTGAGGGCCCGATAATCCTTACAAACTCAGGCTGAATTTTTAAAGGAAATCAATACCAATCTAACTCAAAAAGTCAGCCACTCAGTTCCCAATCCCCCCATCTCTACATCACAGAGCATATGTGTCTGTGAATGCAGGCCTGTGCTCAGCATGATGTCAGGTCTCGTATATGCCAGGTAAGACATCTTGTATCATGTAGTAGAAAAAAAGATAACAAAGAATAACTGTTTTCCTACCCAAGAACTTTAAATTAGTCTTCTCACCTCAGTTAGAGTTCTAATGACTTCATTAAGTCTGGCTTGAAAATGAGAGGTCTGGATGATTTCTGATTTAAGCTGAAAAGATAAGGAGAAATACCCAGTATATAAGCAATCACCTAAGAATGAACAAATTATCAGCTGTTTATAGTCCAAAGACATAAGTGGCAAGCTCCTCAAAAGCAGGGCTTTATTTGTCATTGATCTTTTAGCACTTGCTCAGTGTGGCATATAGCAGTCACTCAAACTTTTGTTGTATGAACTAAGGCACTCCTTCATAACTGTTGATAAAATTATACATACTTATGTCCACTGTGAAAATATTTCAAAATAAAAGAACATTTGCACAGATTTAAACTTAAACATTATAGATGCAAACTATAATTTTTGTGAATCGCTTCTCAGGCAGGACAATTTGTGAAAAGTACCTACACTGATGAGGTTTAAGCCCTACAAATCTAACAAAACAAGGAACAAATCTGTACAGAAAGAACTCAGTCAGGAGCACTTTTTCCCATAGCAAGGCACTGAAAAGCACGATACAGCTATTACTGTAAGCATATACATTTTGTCCTTAAAACATCAGGATAAAGGTGCTCTCCTCCTGCTATGGCTATTCACTCACTTAAATTCCTTCCCCTCATCAATGCTTTACCTGCATTATATCCCCATCAGAGCCTACCAAGGCCACCAGGCCATGAAGAGCTGCCAGACACAGCATTGTAGGAGTACCCTGAAAACAAAGATTTACAATATGTCATGAGTAAAAATCTCCTTGGGTTCAGGTTCTATAAAAGTATACTGCTGTCAAAATAGTACCAAATTTTGAGGATCAACAAAACTAACAATTGATAATTGACCCAAAAATAGCAATAAGACTAAAATAAAGCAACAGGTTAAGGCTGTTAGGTCATAGGTGCCTTCTTGTTTATATTTTGCCAACCCCCCCAAAAAATGTTGCTTTAAAAATCAAAGCACTGACAAAGTAACCAGCTTTAAAAAAAAGAAAAGAAAAAACTAAACAAAAAAACTTGTCAAGTCAGGGTTGGAGAGATGACTCAGCAGTTAAAAGCATTGGCTGCTCGTGCCGAGGACCTAAGTTTGGTTCCCAGCACCCACATGGAGGCTAACAATCACCTGTAACTCAGTTCCAGGGGATCCAATGCCCTCTTCTGGCCTCCACGGCCATGGCACAACACCATTACAGTTACATAGATGCAGGCAATACACTCATACACTTAAAAAAACCTGTAAAGGTTGACATGATGCATTACATATAGGGGATTAAAGGTACATATATCTTTTGTTTGAACATTTATTGTTAAGCTATATATCTTAGCGATTCCTATAAAGAATCAAAGAAGTTTTTTTCTTTATTAAAACATATAATATCATCTAGGAGGTGGTTTTTACCTCTGTCAGAACAATTTTGATCCATCTAGGGAGAAGTCTGCTGCCTAAGTCTTCAGCTTTTCCATGTCCACACACAGATAAACCATGAACTAGGTTTCCTAATGCCAGAGCAAAACCTGAAGTCTGGTAAAAATAAATAATAATAGGGGTAAGGGAAAGCAAGCTATGGATTAGGAATATACGATAAATATGTTAAATGTAGCAAAATATGCATTTCTAGGACTTCCTATTCCTACTTAAAAGTTCTATTTGTCATCTGACAATCAGAGATTTACAGATTTTTTTTTTCAATGTAGACTTTGAAATTGCAGAGTCTGACTGTAAGGAATTCAGCTGCAGGGGGCCATTTACCTTAGAAGAATAATTCTACAGTATTCAACTATTTAGGGGTCATGAGTGAAAATTCAAGAATCACCACACAAGGTCAGTCAACTCCTAAGCAAGAGAAAACATCCCATAATAAGTACATCATGTAAAAACATTCAGTTTTGGACTTGAAAAGCATATTCTGAGTGCAAGTAGGAAGGGAAAGAACTAGGCATGGTGGTGCATGCCTTTGGTTCCAGGGGCAGGCGGATCACTGTGAGATCAAGGCCAGCCTGGTCTATATAATGAGTGCCAGGCCAGTTGGGGCTACAGGGAGAACATCTCAAATAGACCCCCCCCCCTGAAAAAAAGAAAAGAAAAAAAAAGAGTCATAAAACAGAAAGGATGCCATCATAAACTTAAACTCTGTCAGTCCTACAGTAACTCAGTAACTCACTATATAGCCAATACTATGACATGGAGAGACCTTTTAAAATCATCAAATTGGAGAAATTCTATGACATGCTCAGAATTTTTTTTTACCTCCTTAATATGAATAGTAGTTGAATGGCATTAATCAAAATCACAGCCATCAATAATCCTCAGAACTATTTTCATCTCTGCCCCTACTAAACACTAACTTTCTGACCCCAGGGCAACTAGTACTCTGCTCCATCCCTATGAATCTGACTCTAAAGAGATACTCTAAGTACCTCATATATGTGGAATCACATGCCATTTCTCCTGTGATTAGCTTGTTTCACTTACTGTAATATCTCAATGATTTGTCCAGGTGGCAGTGCACGTCAGAGCTTCCTTTTTAAAGGCTCAGTAGTATTTAGGAGAGATTGTTTAATGCATATTTAAATTGCAAGTATTTAAATTTTCCTCTGCATATTCAGTTATGAGTAGGGATTTTCTGCCTTGAATGTGAAAGTTTGATTTCATCAGAGTTCTCGATGCACTCATAACTTTACAAATTTTGTAGCTACTTTTGTATAACTAGTCTCTATCCATATATTTTTTTAATTTTTTAATTGAATTTTTGTGTATTTCATACATAAAATCATCTTTACACCCCCATCTCCCTTCCCCTTTGGCATCCTCTCATAGCCCCCCGCCCACTGGAGTTCATACATTCTGTCATTTGTATTAAGGCCTCCTATGTAAAGTTAGGGTACCCAGATGACCCTCAGTGTGAGTTCAGCCACCGGGGTTTAGTCAGCATATCTAGAGTCTCTCCCTTCAAGTAGATAAGCTCTTCCTTAACCAGCAGTAATCAATTGCCAATAATTCTTTGACTAAGATTGGGGCCTGCTGTTCATTTCTACAGTTCTGTGCTGGGTTTTTGTCTGCTTAAGTTTGCATGGGCCTTGTGCATGTTGACACCATTGCTGTAGGTTTGTATGAGAAGAGTCCCAGGCACCTGTAAGACTATTTCCATATGGTCATGCACCTCCTCCCTGGCTCTTACAATCTTTCCACCTCCTCTTCCCCAGTTCTAAGTATGACACATATTTCATGGTAGTCTAACTCAGAGGAAGTCAAAAGGCAGGATAGAGCAGTAGTAGGCCCAAGACCCCTGGGGAAGAAGGGTCCAGGGCACATGTTCCAACCTGCTGGTTGTTCTCTACCAACAGCTGAAGTTTCTTCATAATATCTTCAACCTCTACAGCCTCAATAATGCCAGCACTGAATGCTGATGCACACACACAGCTAAGTGTGTAGGCAAGGACCTAAAAAAACACAGCAGAGAAATGTTTTTTCACACACAAAATAAAACAACATAGCTTAGCTGATGGAGATAATGTGTCAAACCTCTCCCTGGAAGAACTGAATTTAAATACAGATACTCCAGACTAGGTATCATTATTTCTTTTTTTTTTTTTTTCTGGCTTTTTCAGACAGGGTCTCCCTATAGCCCCAGCTGTCCTGGAACTCACTATATAGACCAGGCTGGTCTTGAACTCACAGATCTGCCTGCCTCTGCCTCCCAAGTGCTGGGATTAAAGGTGTGTGCCACCATGCCTGGCTATTAGTGCATTTCTTAACAATGTCAAGATGGAGATCATTTTCTATACATCTTACAAAAGGGCTTAGAGGTTCAATTGTAAGTAGCTATGGGACAAAAACCAGGATTCAAATGCATAAATCAAAAAGTTTCCTCAAAAAGATCATGCTTAGCACTTGTAAACAGCAGAAGGAAAGAGATCCTTACTAGCTTCAATGTCATGCACTACCTCCAAGACCCCATAGAAGAGGACAATCAAGAATGTGAAACACAGCTGTGTTTCCCTAGGAGACGCCAGGAACATCACTGGAACAGGAATGTGGGGTTGTATAAAACAGGGATTTTTCTGTGTCTGTCACTGTACTGGTGAAAACTTAATAAGTAAATGAATGAGTAAAAGAAAAATAAAAAAAAACATACAAACTAAAACTGATAATGGGAGCAGAGATAATACTTGGGCACATGTTCCAAATAGGCCATTTACTGGCTAGATAACTTTGAGCAAGTCAGTCATTCAAACAGAGGCTCAATTTCTGCAATCAAATTTTTCCATCTTCTTCCTGCTATCTCACATTTTTAAGATAAAGCCCTTCGTTATAAGGATGCTGTTAAGATCCAGTGGGAAGTTCACCCACAGAGCTGAGTGATACACAAAGATGTAAGCCAGCTTCCAAGGAAGAAAGCAGGTAATAAAACACCTAGGATAGGGGGATGCAACAAAACGAAACAAAACTTCTGGTCTTATTAATCAAAACATCAAGGCAGACAGATGTTATCAGTTAAAATAACTTTGTTTTCATTTATTTATCAAATTGTTCTTAGGTCACAAGATTTTCTTCCTCAGCTTAAAACAAAACGAAACAAAACATACTTTTAAATCACACTTGACACCACTTTAAAAATGGAAATTTGGTGCATGTCCAGAACAAAACTTCAACCCTCTGTGCCCCAAAGAAATTTACCAATTCAGCAACTGCTATTGCTGAAAGCAGAGGAGCTGAGCAGAGAAACACAGCAGCCATTATGTGCTCATCAATAGCTTGTGGGCAGGCTGGGATAAAACAGAATCTGTTCTAATGGGAGGGGGAATCTGGTTCAGCCACAAGGTCATCCTTTGCCCTCTTGAAGCAGGGAGCAAAGAGCTCAGCTTTACCTGGACACAACAGAGGTAAAGAATTCCATGTAAACATAGTCATGTGTAGACAGTGTCACACTAGCTCTACTTATGCATATTTTTGTGTTATGCTGGATTAAGAAAAAACAACTTTTCATTAAGTGTGATAAAGGATATTGCCTCAATATTTTTCCACGCTAAGTGCCTTGCCACTCAGATTTTCTCCTTATTGGAGTTGTAATACAACTATTGAAAAAGAATTTCATTTACAGGGTTACTAAAATCTGAGTAGAAATAAGCAGCAGTAAAAACAAAACAAAACAAAACAAAAAAACCCACAAAAGACAGTAAAGCAAGGTGAAATGCAACCTCCATCTCCTACCTCTTGAAAAGTCCTGCTCTGGCTTCCACTGTCATCTAGGTAGGTAGACAGCTTCTGGAGAGATGCTGCCACATGAACTCGTGATTCTGTGTGGCTGCTGTGGCTCATGAGGGACAGAACAAGTCCAACTCCCAATATACAGCCAGTGCTTGGATACAAAATAAGATGTTAGAATTACAAGATATTTGCTAACTATTGTCCACTTACCTCAGGAATTCACTATGCTCTGGAACCTGAAGTAAAATGGTAGGGCTTTACTTCTGTAAGGTATACAAGGGTACTATGACTCTTGACGGGTAAATCCACCTCTTTGCAAAAGGCAAAGTTTATATCAAAATAGATATCCAAGGTGGTGCATGCTCTTATCCCAGCACTTAGGAGGCAGAGGAAGATAGATCTCTATGAGATTGAGGCCAACCTGATCCACATAGTTACAGGGTGGCTAGGGCTACAATGTGAGACCCTGTTTCACAAAACTAAGAACAAAACAAAACAAAAACTTCACAAACAAACCAAAGCAAAAGCCCTAGCTGGGCTAGGGCTTCAGCTCAGTGATAATGCACTTGATTTACATAACTGGGGGCCCTAGGCTTAATTTCCAGTACTGGCTTAAAACAAAAACAAAATAACCACCATCAACAACTACAACAACAAAAATCAGGTAGATAGGCTCCAGTGGATGGACACATACGGAAGAACATCTGGGACACACAACTTGGCTCGATAGGCCTTAATATATATGCTACAGCATATGAAATCCAGCAGGGGGCTATAAGACAGGTACAGATAGGGGGAGAGGTCTAATTTGATCAAAATACATTGTATGAAATTCGTAAAACTTCAATTTATAAAAGGGGAAAAATCAGGTACCTATGGCCCATGTCAGTGCTGTATTCTTTCTGAACAGAAACAGGACAACACAAAGCAGCTGGAATTAAACTCTGCTGACAAGAGAAAGCATAAAACAGTTCTATTTCTGCCCTCACGGAAATGCCATCATCCTTTCTCCACCTGCCTGTAGTGAGTACATGCCCATGCTGAGTACACTGTTATTACCTGCACAAGGGCAGAAGAGGCTAAATGCCAAGGTATAAGCTGAGGACCTCTGGTTAATAAAGGGAGCAGTGTGAGGCACAGTGGTGCTAAGTGCACCATTTTTCATGTTTCCCAGTCAATTCCAACAAGTGGAATTTCATTTGTTCTTAAAGAAACTGTGTATTCATCTATGCACAATGACATTAATCCTTCTCTCCCTTCTGATCTTTCAGAGTACCACTGGGTCAGAAGAGAAAATGGACAAATGACAGGCTTGTCAGAAGTTACCCTGTGTGACAGTTCAATTGGAATCTGGGGCTTTGTGCCCCAATTCTCCTGAAAGAATACATACCATTTAAAGAAAAGAATTGTTCTTTCAGAAACTTCAAGTTAGTATGATAAGATAATGCGGCAATTTTTTTTACTTTTTAAAGTTTCATTCCCATTGTTTTTTAACTGGAAGAAATTCTGAGTTTTTCAGAAATCACTGGTTCTGGTTTGGAACACTTCTTTTTGTGGCCTACGCAGCTAAAGAAGGCACTCCAGGGCTTTGTTCCAATAACATAGTTCCCTATCCAGATCATATTTCTCTTAAATGAAATCTACACCTTTGGCTAGCATCAAGAACCTTCCTGACATTCTATGAACATTCTAGTCACATTGCCTTAAATAACTTTACAAACAGAACATCCACACCTGACAGCACATACCCAGGACAGAAGGATAGGTTTCAAGACCTGCTCAAAAGCACACAGAGAGCTTTCAGCAGAGCATGACCAATATGACAGGGAGTTCAGTCTCCTGCCATGCTAGACCCTTGCTTGTACCCTGTAGAGCACCATATGGGATAGCTATGAGGAGGTAATATATCGGAAGTGTGTCTCTATTTTCTGCTGTGTAACACACAACATTAGGAAACCCTGTGTGAAGCCAACTACAGGAATCATCCATCATTAGGCAGGCAGGATGGCTGTTCTACCTCACATGAGCTTGACAAGCTCAATTGGCACAACACACTTCCATTCCCCCAAGTCAACACCTAATATCCCAGCAACTGCATACTTGAGATGAATCACCTTTCTGCAGGAAAGACTACTCTTGATTAGTATGGACTCAAAGCATGTGTTTTAATTTGAAAATCCACAGGGAACATTTTAAAGCTATCTTTCTATAATGATGCGTGTAAAAATTAGAATTAGACCAAAGATATAATTAGACACAACTTGATTCATATTTTGATGAACTTGACTGTTGGTCTCCCTCTGACTATATAATTGCTACTTATCCCTAAGATTCCAAATTCTTCTTCCTTAGGGATACCTTGCCTAGTCCAGCAGGAAACCTTTTTAATATTCCCACAGTCCCTCTGTATTCATTTACCCTCAACAGTTTTGTCGGGAGCCGCTAATCATTCAGCTGTGTCAGGCTTGTTTACTGAGTGTGTGTTATGCACACCAATATCTAATCTGCCTTATTAGGAGGTATATGTTTATATGGAGAGCCTCACAATACCTGACCTTGAGGCAATAGTAGAGGCCTTTGATCTGAGCGCTCCTTGACCCTCAGATACAGGTGGGGAAAAACAGCAGTTGTAACTAATTGAGTTCTTCTGTATAAAAAGGCAGAACTGAAATAAATCGAGGCTGCAGTATTCACCGTGAGCCCTCCCAAGCAGCAATCTTTTCTGTCTCCTTTCCTTCAATCCTCACTCCCCCTTTCAGGTACTGTCCGTCTTGGCCGGCTAGCACCGGCAAGTTTTAATTATAAATTATGAGGAGGGTTGTTTTATTTCTATTTTTCGTCCAACCGTGAAGTTCCATGAAGGTGGGTACCTTTTCTGTGCTCCTCATGTCAATATCTTTGGCAACCTGATTCATATAGGCATGCAATCAGTATTTGCCAAATGATCAAATGATGAACTGACCAGATGAATTTTAATAGTCTAGAATGGACAGAAAATCTACAGAAAAAAAGGAGACACACACACACACACACACACACACACACACACGGAGGGGCGGGGGACGGACTGGAGGGGAGGGGAGAGGAGAGGGGAGGGGAGGAGACAATTCCTGATGTCTCTGTTTATTTGGAGGCAAAACTGAAGATACTCTCTAAGACTCAATCAAGAAAATTCAAGTTCTATCTTCTCACCAAACTAACTGGAGAAAGATGGATGTTGTGTTTGTATGGAGATCTCAAAGCTCAAATAACAATTAGGATTCACCTTTCTCAATGAACAGGCAAATTTCTAGGTCCTGTTTTTCCAGATATCCTGGGCTCACAATAAGCCCTGGAATGAAGCCGTTCCCCTACACCGCCCCCTCCCACGCCCCCGCAGCCTCCTAAGGATACAGCTGTAAAGGCTTAAAAAAGACACAAAATTATCTCAGCAATAATTATGCTTAGGTAAGGTTACAACATTATTCACGGCTACAATGTTAACTGACTTGTATTATGTGACATAAAACCTAACTGTGAGAGTTAAATGTGTCAGTATAAATATGACATTTGTAATCTGATATGTTTAGCTTATATCTTAAATTTCAGCCTTTCTCTCCATATTCAGATAATCAACAAACCTAATTTTTTTTAGAAGAAGGATTTCATAACAGTTTTAACATATTCAGTAACACATTCCAGAGCAAAGATACATCTCTTTCAAAGGTGACTGTAAATTTTAGGTTCACAGATGAATTAATAAAGTCATACAATATTGAACTCAGTATAAACCCTAGGAGACATAAAATTGAATGAGGTTTACCCTTTAAAGAAGATCTCAATTTCATTTTAAGATATGCTGTTTCCTACATTTTTAATGCTACTAACACAAACATGTTTGCACATATGTTTTTAATCTCTATGTATCTGATTATTACTAGTCACTGACGGTTACACTCGGATCCTTAGTACCTGAGTATGGATAGAAAGTCATCAGGTAGATTTCATTGGTAAAGTTTATTATCTCTACTATTTAACATGAAGTAATTTTTAAATTTTTAATAACTACATAATTAGAAGAAGCATTTCATTACAGCTTTAACATATTCAGTAACACACTCCAGAGCAAGAGGACATCTCTTTCACAAGTGTTTCTAAGTTTCTAGGTTCACAGTTGAATTAATACAGTTATACAATATTGAACTCAGTATAAGCCCTGTAAGACATAAAATTGAATGAGTTTTTAACCTTTAAAAAAGATCTCCATTTCATTTTAGAATATATTGTTCCTTGCAGAAAGACTCATTGTTTTTGCTACTAACACTGAGCTGTTGGCACATACATCTCTAATCTGTATGTATCTGATTATTACTAGTCATAATCGGTTGCACTTGGATCCTTGGTGCCTGTGTATGTCTATAAAGCCATCAGGTAGATTTCAATGGTAATGTTTATCACCTCTACTAATTAACATGATGTAAATTTCCATGCTTCCGCCTCAAACACAATACATTTTTTAAAAATTTGTTGATTTTTGTTGTGTGTGTATGTGTATATCACACAGAACATCCCAAACCATCTTATTCAACTATACACCCACTTCCCAGATGGCACCCTCCCATAGCCTCCCTCCCCCCCAGTAGAGCCCTTATACTCTGATATCCCTGCTACTGTCTGCTGTGTTGACCCCACCACAGCCAATCCCCACTACATGTCCATCTGGTGAATCTAGTCAGCCTATCTAGAGGTCTTTGTTTTAGGAAGGTCAGCTGTTCCTCATCTAGAAGCAATCACTTGTCAATATTCCTTTAGATAAGATTGGGGTGTGCTGTTCATTTTCCCAGTTCTATGCTGGGTTACTATCTGCGAGTACCTTTGGCCACCTTGGCCAACAACTCAAAAGAAGGTATCTCCTATCTTGCATTGTTGCTTGTTATGTAGCCTTTAGCCATACATATGGACTCTTAAAAATTTTTTTGGCCCCTTTAATCTTTGGTTATATTTTCCTTTTAGGTGTTAAGGCCATACAGTTGGCCCAGACAAATGAATTTATTTTTACTCTTAAGGCCGTTTGAGGATCTGTTCCTCAGGGGTCATATGGGCTTGGGAGGAACCCCTGGCTCCTTTCTTTTACCTGTTCCGCCTATGTGAGGATAAGTCAAAGGCCCTACTCCACCATGGCTGGCTTCGCTTGGAAGCATGGAGGAAATGATACCTCTGCGTTTACCCTTCTCTTTGTAGACTGGACACTGGTTCAAGTCCATCTCATGGGGTCT